TAGTAAATATTCTTTTCTCAATCTTTCGTAAAATATACGAAAGCAATCTTACCAAAGGGTGGTTGATAAAATCCATTCCGTTAATATTACGTAAAATAAACCAGAGCTTTTTTTTCCAAGTATCTCAATGATAATATAATTCCGTCAATATTACGTATAAAACGTATTGACTTTAACAATTTTCCATAAATTTATGTATCACGAACTCAGGGTTGGGGTTTTGGACAGGACACGTGATTTTCACTGTCTTAAACTGTCCTAAACTGACTAAAACTGTCTTAAAGTGTCCAAAACCTTATACTTTGATAAAAGGTACAAATTCTATAGGCCTAACCATTCCATTGTACACATAATTATATATATTAATAAATATTTGATATTTTGTATGCAATTTCCTTTAACTTATTAAAGGAAAATAATATAATGTAATATAATATGAAAATATTTATTAGTTTTGAAGCTCCACAATTCATTGAACAACAAAATTGAATACCTTATCCTTAAAATATGAATAAATATGCTTTTAATAATGATAAATTACGTTTTTGCGTAAGGATAAATACAATATTAAAAATAATAATAAACTTTTTTAATAAAACAAAAACTTGTCTTCATTTTGTTTCTTGTTCAAAAAATAACCTTTTATTTTTCACAATATTTTTTTTAAATTGTGACATAATTTTAAAAGAAGGGTTTTGGGCGATTTTGGAAAAAGGAGTTTTTTAGGACAGGACGGTTTAAACCGTGGATTAATCCGTTCTGTTCTAAACCTCGCCAAATCTGATCACGGTACATGGGTTAAGATTTATAAAAATCAAATGTTTTTCGGATTGTGTAGTCATATCTTGCGTTTTCAAGCCGGTATTTTTTATTTATTTTTTTTATTTACCGAGATCTATTCTTTTCCTATTTTTTTTATTATCGAACTGATAAACAAGAGATGCCATTTTTTATCCTCAACTTATTGTTGAACATCCTCACACCAAGCTAAATACCTCCAGAAAAGCAAAAAACAAAATAAAAAAAAACAATGCCTCTTCACGCCCTTTCTGATGTTCTAAACCCATTAAATGAACGGAGGTAAAAAAAAAAAGTCCTGCCACGTGCTCGGACTACTATAGAATGAAACTAAAAGAAAATCCTTTATCTCGTCTGGTCATTAATCACAGAGGAATGGACAGACAGACCGAGTGCTCCGTAATCTCCACCGATTGGTTCTCAAGATCTCCGTGATCAAGGATGGGCCGAGATGAAGATGGCATGTGGGTATGGAAGAGATGGGGGGTGAAGGATAAACGTAAAAGGATTAGTTTCTGAAAGACGAAGTCCGGCACTGCAATTCACGAATCGTTATTCATTCGACTTTAATTACTTGTTTGTTTACTTTAGTATTATTATGCACAAAAAATAGCTTCCAGTCATTATACAGTCTCTGGCCTAATTATTACACGCACTGTGAGATTATATGTAAAATCTTAATCAGGGTGCGTAGCGTTTTTAAAAAGTGCTTAAAGGTGCTTATTTTTGTTTTTTAAAAACCCTTAAAGGTGCTTTTTTTATTGAGTGTGTTTAAAAAAGTGACAGAAATTTTTGCTAAATTTTTTTTTTATTGCAGCTTAAATAATTAGCTATGATTCAAATTTAAATTATTTTGGAACGAGAACTAATTTAAGTTAAAAAAAAAAAAAAAAAATGAGANAAAAAAAAAAAAAAAAAAAAAAAAAAAAAAAAAAAAAAAAAAAAAAAAATCAGCAAAATTTTAAACGTTCTATCTTGAATCAAAACTTACGCTTCAAATGCATGAAAGGAATTTCTTTCCTTTTCTCTTCCAAAACTTTTCGAAGAAAAAAAAATCTTAAGTGGCAGTCTAGATTTCCCCAGCTTTTTTTTTTTAAAGTTCTGTACACTTTTAAGTACCTGCCATTCCTCTTATTTCTGTTTGTTTTCAATTGGAATGTGGCTTTTTTTTCCCCATAGAATTTTTTTCCCTTTTCCCCCCTTCAAATTCCCTATCTTTACTCTTTAAAATCCTTTCATTCTGTTACATTCCGTGAGGTTTTACTTTTAGCTGAAGCTGTTGTTGAGCAGCCATTTAACTATTTACTTTCAGATCAGAACTGTAAATGATTTTATTGCAGAACACTTACTTTTTGTGTGTTTGAAAGGTAATTCGTACATTTTAAAGACGAATATACATATCTGCATGAAAAATATGTTTTTCGTTTGAAGATATACATTATTTAAAATCCAAATGGTGGTAAAATTTTTGTTTCGATTTTTGTGTTCGTGCTATGAAAGATAATTTGTACTAATGTGGCATTTTAAAGAAACCGAATATCCATATCCGTTTTAAAGATATGTTTTTGTTTTAAGGTATACCTTACTTCAAATTTAAATCGTGATAAGATTTTTGTTTCGATGTTTGTGGTTGAATTGTTATCTTTTGTTCATTTCTACTTTGCGTTACCAGTGTTCTGTCTAAGCGTTTTTAGAGGGGCGGCCTGCCCCTCTGCCCTTTGATCCCTATAAATGCGCCCTCCTTGATCTTTTTGTAAGCCTCCATCCCTATAAAAACACTGCCTTTTTATTTTATTTTTTCAAGAAAAGGTTGTTTCCTTAACCATCCGTTTTAATTAAAAGTCCACTTCTGATTTAATTAATTATTGATCATTATTTTATTTTTGATTTCATTGCTTTATTTATTAAGATTATAGATAGTTTAGTAAAGTTAGATCTTATGTTGTCTGCTTACGTAGTTAAAATTCGCATGATATTCGTCTCCAGAGATTTAAAATTTATTTGGTGAGGGTATGATAATTGAGATTCTTAGGGAGTATAATTTGTTTCATTTTTTTAAAAAATAAATACCTTTTATTTAAAAATGCATCTTTAAATGTTCATTTTCTCATAATTTTCAGTTTGAAATATTAAAAAAGCTTTCAAATTGTCAATCGAATGATAATCCTTTTTTTTAGTTTACTTTTATTTTTAAGAAAATTTATACACGAAGATTGTCTTTTAACTTACCTTTAATTATTTTTCAAAAGCTTCAAATTTTTCTGTTATTTTGATAATGAGTGAGAATTACTTAAATGTACATAAAATAGTATAAGAGGGTTATTTAAAATTTGAGCATCAGATGCAGTTATTACATAATATTTCAATATTTGAAATACATAATATTTCTATATATGTAATAATATAATTATTACATAATTAGCACCTACCATACTGTAATAACCATAACCATACTGTAATTAAGCACCCTGCCCTTTTTTTATACCCAGGGAGAACTCTGGTGTAACAATATGATATCAATGATTGCTTTCGCTTCGTTATACGAAATTTATTCATGTTACAAACATTTGTGCTGTTAAGGATTACGATTTCATAGTGAAAAGGTGTTGGTTCATGTCAAATACGGCGGTAACCCGAAAGCAACATGCCGAGAGGTTAATCAAAAACTTTATTCTTGGAGAATAAGATTATTTGATTTGATTTAAAGGAAGAAAAAAAAACTTTATAATAGACTTTTATAAAAGGATTTTTTTTTTAAAACCAGTTCTCAAAGCCTTTTTTAAAGTACTTTGATTAATTGCATTATAAATAAAGACTTAAAAAGATGCTTAAGTTTTTATTCCTTGAATTAATTTTAAAATTGGCTGAAAAGAAGTCAGTGAAATAAAAAAAATTAAAAACGTCTAGATATTCTCAAAAAAAGAATTTAATGTTGAACTGGAATATCGCGCAAATATACTGTGACCTTATTAAGATGCAAACTTGATCCATATTTCCATTCAATTTAAAATACCATCTAATCAATTTTAAGGAGTTCTATAATATGTTTCCAATTTAGTATCATATTAAGATTACAGTTAATTTGAACGATAACTGCACTTAAAAAATTTAAAAACTAGATAATTGTCAGTTACCGTCAAAAAAAATTTCTGTCATCAACGGTAAAAAATAAATTATGCCCGTAAAACTATTATGTACAGAAAAATGTAAGTCTGCTCTTAAATTTTTTCTCGTAATTATATGATCACTTACGGTCGTAAAATATGATCGTAAATTTGCCGTAATTTATATGACCACTTGTTGTAACTTGGCATAATAGGCTTAAAAATTAAAAAGTATCTTCAGTTTAGGGCTTCATGTTCTTTGAAAACTCGTGTAACTTGTTTGTGGAATTAAAGTGAACCTTGGAACGAGGCGAGGTAGAATAGTGCTGCCATCTGTCAAGAAGAGAGAGAGATTGGCCTGTTCGTTGTCCGTGGCCATCAATGCGGAGGTAATGCGAGAGATATACTTGGGTACCAGCTGGGATCCAATCCGAGACCTCTATGCCCGTAGCACGGTGTTATAGCCAGAATGAAATATAGTGTGCACCCCAGAATTGATAAAGGAAACTTTAATAAGCTGGACATTTTTATAGTGCAATTGAAAATTCAATGTGAACGACAAAAAAATTAAAATTGAGATTTTTATGTATTTATCATTTTTGTACAGTAAGAAACTTATTGCAAACCTTTTTTTCAATAAAATATTTTTTTTAGTTTTTTGAAATTCTATTTTAATATTTATAACATTAGCAATCGAAAGAAAAAAGTTGTCAAGCCACTTTTCTCGAAATCTATTGTTAATCATTTATGTTTTTTTTCTTCATCTTTTTTTATTGTACGGCAGATGTAGTTTAGCGATCCATGTTTAGTTTAATTACCAATTTTGCTAAAGTTCGTAACTATTACGGATACTGGGTTTTTTCTAGCAAAAGGTAACTGGCCGTATAAGTTTATTGTCATCTCTCTGAATTTTACGGTCATCTCCCCGAATTTTACGAAAGATAAAGTGTGTATCTTTAATTTTTCATTTGTCATTCATATATAAAAATTTATTATTCCTTTTATTTCTGTTTTCATTAAAACATCATCTGCATTTTAATGATTCATTTATACAATTCTATGTGTTTTTAATGAGTATTATTATTTTGTTTTTTTCAGATACGTGTACCTTTCCGAACCGATGGTCGGGTAGTTGGTTTCAGAAAGGTAGTCCCGATCCCATCCGAGTGTTTAATGGCACAATATCTTCTAAAGGAGTTTGCAGGAATAACGAAGGAGATAAATTTCTAATAGAAAATACGTAAGTTTATATTATAATTTATTTTTTCTTATTTAGGATTTTTTTTCGAGTGTTTACTTCTAAGACTTGGACTGATTTAATTTTATCATTCAAGCAATGACATTTTAAAATTTCTTTTTCTGATACTATGTCACAAAGTGATTCACAAGTAAAAATGTAATTGGTTTGATCGCGTCAATAGGAATTTTTAATTACAATGTAATTTGAAAGTTAATAAATTGAATTCATGTACACTTATAGTAAAAGTATAGGTATAAAAATAAGTTCAAATTTACTAATAGGCATTAGAATATCCTATTTGAATCTTATGGCTTTTGTTTAATGGCTAAAATGTACAGCTTTCTCAATTAATATTCACCAATTAATAATTTCATCAATAAATTCATATTTTTTGTCATAATTAAAAGAATTGGTTACATTTAGTTAAATCGAATATTTTCCCCCCTATGATGAGTTTTGAGTTTTCTTTTTCTAACGTACCATTGTTAAAAGTGCATTAGAAAAATGATCTAATGAGCGGATTTCAGGATGGTAGCACAAAATTTCTTTGATGTTAAAAAAAGTTTACAAATTTCATGCATTTTACAAATTTGACCGACTTCTATAAAATACATTTTGCACAAAAAGAATCTTCACACTTTTTGCTCGTATTTTATTGAAAAAAAAAATAAAGTACCAACTTTTTATTGTCCTAAAATTAAATCCTAACAATAACAACCACAAGGATACCCTAAACTTTTTTTTGTATTGTTGCTGGGTTATTCATAGTACATTTAATTATATCACAACGATTTTTTTTAAGCGAAAGTGTAATATGAATATTTTTCTTCAAACCATAAAATATTTCGTTTACACTTAATAAGAATATTAAAAAAAATCCAATATCCAACTTTACTCAAACATTTTTATTCCATTTATTTAATGACCATTTTAAGAGCTGTAAAAATTTCGGTATATCAGATTTTTTGTTCCCTAACATGTTCCAATAAAAATGGAATTTACGGTAAAAAGTACCACAAAAAAAAACTATTTGTAATCTTTAAATTGCGTACAAAAAAGAAAAACAAGCTAAAATGTAAAAAAAAATTTCAAAAAGCCAATCCGTCACAATATTAATTTAATTCTTGTTTATCATATTCAGTTTTTACAATTAGTGCACATAAATTTTTTAATTCCTTAAGTTGCTTTTAAGTTATGTAACAAGCAATTTGTTATTCTATTCGCTCTGCTAATAACATTTTGTTTCTGCTTTATACGATTAACCCGTGCATACGAACGTTAATTAAGATAACTACTTATGTTATTCTCGAGAGAAAACATCCAATTTATTCTATTGTTGCATGATTAAGGTTACAAAAAGATAACTACTGCCTAACTTTTCTACTTATCTAAATCAATGTTATCAATAATTCAGTAATTTCCTTGTCTATTGCATTAATAATTTACCTTAACTATTTTATCTGTAATCAAGACTTTTCTACGAAATTGTAAGACTTACACGATAAGTTAAGGTGAAGTAATGTAGACTAACACGCAAGCTTGTTTGAACTTCGATATTTTAATCAAATCAATGTCGTTTTATTTTAAGAATGAAGTTGTCACTAGTGGAATTGTGTATTATCACTAGCTCTGAATGATATTTGGAAATAACCTTCTCAAATGATCTATCCATTCTTTCAAACACCGAAGCAATCCAAAAGAAATCTGTAAATGTTGTTTTTCCTCTCGCCTACAATATAAGTAGTGAAGCGATCACTCATTTCAATGTTACGCGTGTTAACTTTTTTCTTAATAATTACATAACTATTCATTTAGTTTTTCAAGTGACTAGTGGAGTTGTGTATTATGACCAGCTATGATTGATATTTGGAAATAATATTTTGAAATGATCTATCCATTCTTTCTAACACCGAAGCAGTCTAAAAGAAATCTGTAAATGTTGTTTTTCCGCTCGCCTACATTATAGGCAGGGAAGCGATTAATCGTTTCCAAAGTTATGTATGCACTAACATTTCTGTAATTTTTTTTTTTTTTAATTATAATATTTAGTTTTCGAGTGATTAGTTGAGTAGCGTATTATAGTCGATTTGGCACTTGAAATTTTGAAGTAATCTATTTGTTCAGCCATTAGTTCAATCTAAGAGAGATTAATAGTTAAATTGATGTACTTATTCGCGAATGATGTTCTTATTCTTGAAGCATAAGACACAGTTTAAATTGTTTTGTGTGATTTTTTTTACTAAATTGTTTTTTTAAACATATTTGATGTTATTTCTGTATTTACAGTCTATTATTTTCAGAATTTTCCGAGTTTTCTTACGATTTTATCGACACACAACTTATTATTTTAACAAGACATTTTCTTCAAAATAATTTTTTTTTCCAAAATAATCGGTGTTTAAATAAATATTTAAATAGTTTTATAAGTGCGTAGAATAAGTTCACCTCCATTATGCTATGCAAAACACTTAACGAATTTAGATATGTTGTTATAATATTTTATAAAATATTATTTTTCTTAAATATTCCCATTATGTTTAGAAGTTCAACACTTATAGACTTAAAGTTTGAATTAGAATTATTTTTTAAGCATTACCTATTTTTCAAAAATTTAAATCATACTGAACTAACTCCTTTGATAATTTATTCTTCTATTATTAATTTATGAATATTTACTTATAATTTATTTCAATCAAGAAGTTTGCAATATAAATCCTTTTTAACCAACTCGAAAATTTCCCTCTCTTAAACTTTTCTCTGATTTCTAATTTAAAACTTAACTTTGCGAACGCCAAATTTTTCAACTCCCATAACGGAACAAACATTTTACTTCCTTCGTGCAAAAGTTGGGTGAAATAAAAACATCTTGCACTTTACGAAATCCACAGTTCGCCAAGTAGTTCATGTAAAAATCACACAAGCTTCAGGCACAATTTAAGAATAAATTCTTCTGGGAATATCGTTCGGCGTAGGGGCATGCTTTCCGTGCGATCTTGGATTAGCGGGATGTAGGTAGTATTTCTTGTAACTAAGACTGGTTGCGTGTGAACTAACAAGGGAGCGTTTGGTCCTCGACTTTCTGAAAAGTTTTCTTCCCTTGACTCTTTTATTCCTTTTGAGAATAGTCTCCTCTGTTTAAACCGTTTCTTATTTGGAGCGTTCTTATAGTCTTTCGTGAGACTCTTGTTTAGAAAATTCTTGATTATCTCGGAAAACAGGTTTGTGTTTCTAAGTGAAAAATTGGAAATGAAATTTAAATTGAAGCACCAAAAATGTATAGTGCGACGTAGAATTCGACGTGTTTTGGAAAAATGTACTAAAGTTTAAGAAAAAATGTTTTATCTTTAATGCTTCTTTCATTCATATTAATCATTTCGTCGAAAGTTTTTAAAACAATTAATATTTAAGAATTAATCGAACATTTTTTTTAGTTTGCCATTTCCAAATCAATTATACTTTTTGACGTTGGTTCATAAAATTATATTTCTTTTTTAAGCCAGCATTTTCTTAGCGAAATAACTATAAAGTATAATTTCAATCCATAGAATCTTAATTGTTTTGTATATGTAGCCTAAAAATTTTCGATAGAATTTTTACTCCTAGCCGCCTTACCTATGATAAAAAAAAAAATTATTGTTATTAACTTTCAAAAGTTGATATGTTTACTATTTTAATCTTAATGCAAAATAATTTGAGTAATTCACCAAGCAAAGTATCATCTACCATAAAATATCCAGCATTGCAATAAGCTTGATAGTATAAAAATTTTACTACCATTGGTTTATTTCTAAAATATTTTTTTAAAAACAGGAAAGCAATAATAAAGCATATCTAAATTGTCTTAGTCTTATTTTAATAAGAGTTTTACTATCACCGGCGCCGACCAATTCCTCTATATCGTGTTTTTTTAGCATTAACGGGGACGTTTGGATTAAAAACTTAAACAGAATCACACATATGGAGGGCTTTTAAAGTGAAACTAATCTAAATTTTCGTTTTTTTTAGCGTAACACGTTAGCGTGTTTTTTTAGCATTAACACGGGAACGTTTGGATTAAAAACTGAAACAGAATCACACTTATGGAGGGCTTTTAAAGTGAAACTAATCTAAATTTGCGTCTTTTTTTAGCGTAACACGTTAGCGTGTTTTTTTAGCATTAACACGGGAACGTTTGGATTAAAAACTGAAACGGAATCACACTTATGGAGGGCTTTTAAAGTGAAACTAATCTAAATTTGCGTGTTTTTTTTTTTAGCGTAACACCTAGAGAAAAACCAGAAAAATATTAGACTCTTCGAAAATCGTTAGTTTGGCGAGATTTTTTTAACCTAAAGAAAAACCAGAAAAATAATAGACTCTTTGAAAATCGTTAGTTTGGCGAGATTTTTTTTACCTAGAGAAAAACCATAAAAATATTACTCTTTTAAAATCGTTAGTTTGGCGAGATTTTTTTAACCTAGAGAAAAACCAGTAAATAATTCTCAATTTTTGCGAATTTTCATTTGCGCCCAACAATACAGTGTTGGATTAAGTTTTAAATTGTTAAAATATATAAACGCTTTCATTTCACAAAATTTTGGCCTCCTTTTATAATGACATTTTTGAATCATTAGCTTAGAGGTTGGCTAAAAGTAAGCGATACTTAACCTAACAGTCATTAATAACTATTACAAACTCACAACACTAACAAAAAATCGCATGATATTCACTAATAAGTGTTACGATAGACGATGGAGCTTTTTTTAAAAAAGCAGCCCTAATTCACATTTTGCGCAGAATATTTTTCGTGACTCAATGTTTCTATTTCTGTTTCTTCCATCATTCATTTTCAATCTAGCAATACGCCCCGTTATCTACATCAGTACAGAAGCTTACAAGTGCGAGTACAAGCTCAAATCAGTCGACAGTTTCACCATACAGCCCTTGCTTCCACGCGTGCTGGTGTCGAGCTCATAGACGTGCTTCATCCGTCAAGACGCGACGGGGCACCTGCCCCACCC